GATACAATGCTTACCAGTCTCACAAGACTACCACATAAGTTTTTGTTCTATATTGTTTTGAGCTCCTCCAGGGGTCACATCGATTTAAGAACGATAGCATCGGTATTCATTACTGAATCAGAAAAGGGGTCTTCTAGCTAATATCCTTGGCATTTCTGGTTTCAACTTTCACCTTGTCATTTTGCACATAATTTTAAGTAAACAAATTAAAATTTAATTAAAGTTTTTATTCAAAATAACATATATTAATTTCTCTGTCTTTATTCTAAAGAAACAGCACCTATCACCCTTTTTGTTTTTTGAGACAGGGTCTCACCATGTACCCCAGGCTGACCTTGAACTCCTGTCTCAAGGGTGGCGATCCTCCTCTCAGCCTCCGCAGTGCTGAGATTGCAGGCGTGCCACCACCACTACTGGCTCCTTTTTGTTTTACTGACTTAAGCACTTTTCTTCTGTTGCAGGTCTGTGGAAAGACTTTTATCTATAAACATGGTCTAAAATTACATCAGAGTCTCCATCAATCACAAAAGCAGTTCCAGTGTGAACTATGTGTTAAGTCATTTGTTACCAAACGGAGCCTTCAAGAACATATGAGTATTCACACAGGTAATGATAAGTTTATATTGATACAGTTAAATTTTATGTATTTGAATTTATTATTATTGATTTGCTATGATCATATCAGAAATTACATTGATATACTAATGGTTGTATGTGTGGGTTTTTTTTTTTTTTTTTTTGTGGTACTGGGGATCAAACTCAGGTCCTTGCGCTTTTGAGACAGGCAGCAGAACCACTGAGCTAAATCCCCGGCCCCTGTGTGTGTTTTTTTAATGATTTCTTAAATACAGGGTTTTTAAAAAATAATTTTTTTTTTTTTGGTTTTTTGAGACAGTCTTGCTATATTGCCCAGGCTGACCTGGAATTCTTGGTGATCTCCTGCCTCAGCCTGGCTGGTACTGGGATTACAGGTGTGTACCACCCTAACCAGTTTAAATCTAGTTTTAGAACTCTTTTTGTATAAAAATGTTAACTATTTCTCTCTGTGTAGAAAAGTATGTAATAAGTGCCAAATCATTAAATCCTAAAGAAAAATCCATACCAGGTACCAAGCATGGTGGCACATGCCTGTAATCCCAGTGCTCAGAGGCTGAGGCAGGAGGATCCCCATGAGTTTGAGGCCAGCCTCGACTACATAGCAAGACCAGTTTCAACCACCCCCCCACCCCAAAAAAGCATGTGAGAATGACCAGTGAAGGGCAGATGCTTGTACAGAGCTGGTGCTCAGCTCTGGCACTGTTAACAGTTCAGAGATCTTGTAAGCACATCACATTCTTATAGTGGGAGCCTTTGCTGTTGCAGTCATCACCTCGTAATGAGGATTCAGTCAACCATGGACTTCATGCAGTGTTGCTCCTGTAAAATGACGTTGCCTAGTGATGTCATAGCCATCTTTGTGTCACTGCCCGCCATGATTTTTGTACCACAAAGGGATTTTATCCCTTTCATTCATCAGTAAATGGCTGTGCTGTACTTTTTAAAGGAAATGGAGATTTTTGGCAAGGTTTATTGTTATTCTTAGAGTCTTGCTAAATGTTACAGTTTCTATGTCCCTTTGATAAAATAACACCTTGTGAAACTGGCTGTGGTGGTGTACATACACTTGTCATCCCAGCATGCAGGATCCTGAGGTTGAAAGATCTCCAGTTTGAGGCCAATCTGGGGCAATTTAGCAAGACTTAGAAGAAATTCTGGAACATAACAAAGAATTCTATTGGAATTCTTCTACCTGATTGGTAAATTTGTGATACGCTTTTTATTTTTTACAGGAGAGTCAAAGTACTTTTGCTCAGTTTGTGGAAAGTCTTTTCACAGGGGCTCTGGACTCAGCAAACATTTAAAGAAACACCAGCCAAAGCCTGAGGTTCGAGGCTATCACTGTACTCAGTAAGCACTTATGTGAACCTTTCAGTTAATTTCATTATCTTCTTTACTTGGCTTCTTTGTAACAAAATGCTCAAAGATAATACCAAGCTGTAATTTCAGTCTACTCTTGATTTAAAAGTCTTTACTAAGTGTTGCTGTTTATCTTTTAACAGTTTTATTGAAATGTGCATCATACACAGATAACTCATTGAAAATGATTTAAAGAGATTTTGCAAATGTACTCCCCAGGCTTAGGGGCTGTAGGAAAGAAAGGTCCACAGACAGCCAGAGTTCCTTTCTAACCATTTCCTCTTGACTTTTTGTTTCTGGTGGTGGTGCTGAGTATCGAACCCAAGGCTTTGTACCTGGCAGTAGACAAGTGCTCTACCACTTATCTGCATCCCCAGCCCAAGGCAGTTCTTCTGAAGAGCTGGGCACTGCTAATTTCTCCTTTCTTATGACATTTTTGTTACTTTCTCCCTTTTTTTCATTTTCCAAAGCTTCCAAAATTTTTTCTGAGAATAAATTCATATAACAAAATTAATATAGGGTATACCATTTAGGAGTCTTTAGTACATTCCCAAACATCACTACCAATTCCAGAATACCGCCAGCATTCAGCCAGTTTGCAACTCTGCCTTAGCCTTCATTTCCTGTTTGTGTAGATCCAGAAGGTAAGGAAAAGGTAAGAGTTTGAGGTCTTTTCAGGTCCCCTTGAGCATGTGCTCATCAGTGAGTAAGCATGTAGACTTTTAATATTCCTTAAAGCATCTCATTCCTATGCATTTGATTTGTGTGTTTATTTATTTCATTGTATTTATATTTTTAAAATTAATTTTATTGGAACATTTTAGGTAAGCAATATGACATTCATCATTGGAAATTTGTACCTTTACATAATCTCTCCTGGTTCTTATTTTTTCCCCATTGATTTGTGTATTTAGAATAATTGTTCCTTGCCCCAGGTGACAGTGGCTAATACATTTGCCTTTAAATGTTTTCACAAGCTCCCTACTCACAGCCCTCCCTCAGTCATAGGAAAGTTAGGCCAAATAAAGGCAAAAGGGCTCCTTCAGAGAGCTACCAGATAGGTCAAAATAATGCAGTTCTCTAAGAGGAATTTCCTCTGGTAAAGGAGCCTGTATTGAGAATGTAGGCTGTCTTTCAGGCTTTTGCTGAACTCTGGGAAGCAGGGGATGGGCAGGGGTAAGTTTAAAATGCCATAAATTATATAGATTCGGTAGTTTATTTTCTTGATTAAACATTTGCCTGGTCATTATAAACTTTTTTTTTTTTTTGAGACAGGGCCTTGCTATGTAGTCCAGGGTGGCCTTGAATGCATGGCTGTCCTCCTGCCTCAGCCTCCCAAGTGCTGTGATTACAGGCATGTCCCACCACACCCAGCTGGTTACTATAAATCAGTGATGATGAACCTTTCAGAGCAGTGATGAACCTTTTAGAGGTTTCAATGATACAAAGAGCCCACTGTGGCACACATGCCATAAGTTTACCACCACTGCTGTACGTAAACTTTTGATTAGTATCTAGAGTTCCCAGTAAAGTTGATTCTGATAGTTTGCTAGTTTATCCACAATTTTTGATGGGCTTTTGCTTTTTCCTACTCTTGTATTTGCTGATTTCATTCTAATTAGGTTTGGTTGGGGTTTTTTTGTCTTTTGTTTTTGCAGTACTGAGGATTGAACCCAGGGCCTTCCTGCTGAATCCCCAGCTTCCCCACCAGCATCCCCTTTTGATTTATGAGCCAGGGTCTCACTAGGGTTGCCCATACTGGTCTCAGACTTGTGGTCCTCCTGCCTCTGCCTTGCAGAATGCTAGGATTTACAGCCATTCACCACCACATAATTAGTCATCTTTTAAAACAAAGGTAGTTTATTGACAATATGTTTTTCATTATAAGTGAAAGAAAACTCAGCCAAAACTGGCTTATTATAAAAGGTAAAGTCTAACATCTGAGTAATTTAATGTAAGTCGGATTCAGATTAATTAGTACAGTGGACCCTTGACTTATGAACTCAATCAGTTCCTGAGGGCTGGTTGTAACTCAAGTTGGTTTTAAGTCAGTACAGCTGAGATCTGGGTGCTTACCTGGGTACATGCTATACATAACAAGAGGCAGATGAATCTTCCATTAACCTAATTAATCCAAGTTGTTTTTATGTCAGGCCAGTTGTAACTTGAGGGTACACTGTACATGGTTTTTCTCCAGCTCCATATAAACAAGTCAGTGGCAGTGGTTTCAGCCTCACATTGTCTCAACTTCCAAGTTGTTCAGCTTCTTTTCTGGTAGTTCCTTAGGTTCACTCTGATTAGATCAAGTTGTCATTTGGACATCCTTGAGTAAATCACTGTGGCCATGGGAATGTTGTGCTCTGATTGATTTAGCTCCGAGTCCTTGCCCACTCCCTAGGGTCAAGGGTGAAGCATGCCTTCAGCACATGGACACAGAGTGAAACAGATGATGGAGGGATGTCTTTTTTTTTTTAATTAATTTTATTGGTACATTTTATTAGTACACTTTAGGTATACAATTCGTTTACATTTATCATTGGGTGCGTGTACCTGTACGTGATATATCTTGGTTCTTATTTTTTTTCCCCATTACCTGTGCGCCCTTCACCCCCTCCACCCTTCCCTATTTACATTGATTTCATTTCCTTTTTTTTTGTTTTCTCATAGTTTTTCCTTTCCCTCTTTTCCTTTCCCCTTCTCCTCCCTTCACTCCTTCGTCTTTGGACCTTTTTTCCTATTTCAAATTATCAAATAGATGGAGGGATATCTTAAATGGGGAGTAGGATCTTGGATGGAAGAAAGATGAACAGTAAATTACTTATCTTAAAACTTTTGGGAACTCTCCATGATTCTCAAATATTTCTGTGCTGTAGAGATTAGAGAATCTGCATTCTTGATGCTAGATTGGAAAATTAGGGATTTCTTTTAAAGTTGGCGATCATTTTGTGGTGTTGAAGAAAACCCAAGAATATAGAATGCTTGGAAACTTTTTATAAAGATTAAGATAATCCAGTTGGGTAACTAAACTTTATTGTAGATGTGAAAAGAGCTTCTTTGAAGCTAGAGATCTTCGCCAACACATGAACAAACATCTTGGTGTGAAGCCATTCCAGTGCCAATTTTGTGATAAGTGCTATAGTTGGAAGAAAGACTGGTATTCCCATGTGAAGTCTCATTCTGTCACTGAGCCTTACAGGTGGGTAAATTTGAGAGGAATCTGAACCTAACTGAGAAATACGTGTATATGATTGTTTCTTACAGCTTCTGGTGCTTTGGAAAGAATAATTTAGGTCATTTCCCCTATTTTAGGTGTAATATATGTGGCAAAGAATTTTATGAAAAAGCTTTGTTCAGAAGGCATGTAAAGAAAGCCACCCATGGGAAGAAAGGAAGAGCAAAGCAAAACCTCGAACGAGTGTGTGAACAATGTGGAAGAAAATTCACTCAGCTGAGAGAGTATAGGAGACATATGAACAACCATGAAGGTAAGTATTTCGTATTATGTGTATCTAAATAGAATAAGAGCCAGTCAAATAGTGATTTTTCCCTTGCCAGCCTTCTTGCCTATTCTATTACCTTACCTTCCTTGATAAGAGATTATTCCCCTACTTGGAAGATCTATTCAAGTGACAGAGGTGATCCTGAACCTACAAATTAATTATTGAAGGCTCTGGTTCCTTATCCTGATTATAGAATTGCCATGAAGGAATAAATGAGATTATGCACAGAAACATTTGTCTATCAGTAAATTCTATCCATGAGAATATACTTAAAAGATTATAGTAAGTATCTTGTCTGTTTTTTTGATACCGGGGGATTAAACTCAGGGGCTTTACTACTGAGCTATATGCCCAGCCCCTTTTTCTTTTCGAGACAGTCTTGCTCAGTTGTCTAGATGGGACTGAATTCAGAATGCTCTGGGCTCAGCCTCCCTGAGTGCTGTGACAGGTGTGTGCCAATCCTGGCTAGAATCTTGGTTTCTTGTCTGTTGTAAGGAAAACTATGAGATGCTAAATGCAAGATTACCATAGTCAAGATAAAAAGACTAAATGGGCTACTGTACTTTAAAAAAATTATTTACTGATCAATTTTAATATATTTTGTTGGTACTTGTACCTCATCCCACACACTCTTTTTTTGTAAATAGGAGTGAAGCCATTTGAGTGTTTAACATGTGGAGTAGCTTGGGCTGATGCCCGATCTCTAAAACGCCACGTTCGAACACATACGGGAGAACGGCCCTATGTCTGTCCTGTGTGTAGTCAAGCCTACATAGATGCACGAACACTACGTAAGCATATGACTAAATTCCATACAGACTATGTGCCTTGCAAAATTATGCTGGAAAAAGATACCCTTCAGTTTCATAACCAAGGAACTCAAGTGGAACATGCTGTTAGCATCTTAACTGCAGACATGCAGGAACAAGAAAATAGTGGTCCTCAAGAACTTGAGACTGTGGTGGTAACAGGAGAAACTATGGAAGTTCTTGAAGCGGTTGCAGCTACTGAAGAGTGTCCATCAGTATCTACACTTTCTGACCAAAGTATTATGCAAGTGGTTAATTATGTGTTGGCACAACAGCAAGGACAGAAGCTATCTGAAGTTGCAGAAGCTATTCAAACTGTTGAAGTAGAAGTGGCACATATTTCAGAAGCAGAATGAATATAGTAATGATAAAAAGAAAATCTCATGTACACTGAACTCACAGAACATTTGTTTACAATTCATTTTGACTGTCTCTTTAGAGTTTTTATGTCAAAGCTCTGGACTATCAGTGATTTTTCTAAACTGTGTACCAGTGAGTTCTGTAGGAAAGTCTATTTACTGGAAAGAAATTAAAAACAAATCTATTTGATGGCAGTGGTTCATCATGGTATACCTTTTATGAATTTGGGTTTATAAATGGCTATACTAAGTCTGAAGCTGTACAGTTTCACTTGTATTTTGACATTATTATATATTTTGAGTTTAAAAAGCTGAACCAGTTGAACGCTTTTCTTCTGTTTTATTCTCAAACTGTAAAGGTTCTGTGATTTCAGTTGCCCTCTTCATAAAATTCTAATATAAACCACTTCAGTAGGATTCATAGGTATACTATAGTTTTTGATGCTTTAGATCTGGTGATTCTTGGCTATTTATTTTAATTCCTTCTAAGTCAGGGATTCTTTATTCTATTTTAAAGCACTTAATGAGTTACATGTTGTAATCAAGTTTGCACAATGTATTTATCTATATGGGAAACTCGTAAATGAATAGCTAATTTTTAAATGCCATTAAAATGCATGAAATGCCTATTAAAGCCTTACGATACTATCTCTTCAAGGCAAGTAATTGACCATGAGAAAAGAGTACTGTTATAAAATTGTTAGGAAATAAAAATCTTAATTTTTTTTGCAGAAAAATGAACAAGTTAGGTTTGGTATGTTTTCAGTTCATATCATGTTTAATTTTGTTGAACAACTGCAGTTGAGAAATAGGGTAGCAATATAGATATCTACAGCAGTCCTGTGGATACTATAAAATTATCAGGTAATTTCAGAATTTTGAAAATTCTTAAAATGTAGCCCTCATGATACTAAATTAATTATGGTTCTACCAAATTTTTGAAAATATTTTGAAAAGTTACCTGAAAACTAAATTATATTAATTCATGTGTTTGATTTTTAAATTCTCACCTCTTCAAGCTATCCAATTTTCTGATTTTCAGAATAGGCATGGGGAGATGCCAATGTCTCTCTAGGGAACTATTTAAACTATAATTTTTTAAATTAAGTTTTTAGGTGTTATAAGATATAAAATTAAGATTTAAGCAGATCATATGTAAGTCATTCCTGAAGCACAAGAGAAGAATGTGCCTTGATGTACATATATTATTCCTGTTTACTTTAAAAATGGCTTTAATAAAGAATAAAGAATAAATGTGATAGCTGTGCATGCATTATACTTGCATACTTATAATATTTGCATTTGCAAATTTTCTATTGTTTTCATAGCTGTGACTGACTTTCAGTTTTAAGAAGTGAATCAACATACAGCCCATAACTTTAAATGGCTGCTTGTTGTATCTTTCAGTTAATGAAAAAATATTACAACCCAAAATTTGAAATTGTCTTTCATGTTCCATTTTCACCATTGTTATTAGATTTAGTTAAATGTATAAGAACATTAATGTATGTCATAAATGTGTAAATAAACGATGTTGAATCTTGTTTAAAAGCATAGCCTTTGGATTTGAGCTTGTCAGTATTTAAATGATGTTGACTCTTGTTTAAAAGCATAATCTTTGAATTTGAGCTTGTCAATATTCTCAATCCATAAATCAGAGTGTTTGGGGGGGGGGGCATTGAGACAAGAATATACTTCAGACTAGTCTTGAACTCACTATGTAGTCCAGGCTGGCCTTGAACTTGCAGTTATCCTCCTGCCTCAGCCTCCTGAGTGCTGGGATAGTGTTATTTAACGTTACGTTAAAAAATAAGGGAATTGGGCCCAGGATTTAGCTCAGTGATTCCGGTGCCTGCCTCGCTAAGCGCAAGGTCCTGAGTTTGATCCCTGGTACCAAAAAAAAAAAGAATAAGGGAATTGAATGTGTTTTTTAAAAAAACCCATTGGGGAACACTTAATACTAAAACATCTCAAATATAACCATCACAAAATTAAATGTAATGCCAGTTGTCAACTGTGGACATTTAAAATTATTAGAATTACATATATTCCACATGGGAACATTTCCCAAAATTCACCAGTTTTAATGTTACCATGGAGGAAATTTCTTCATTTTTACAATTACTAGAGAATTGTAAAATTCTAGAGAATTTCGTTTTTGTAGTATGACCTCTAGAAACTTCGAGTGTCACCTGATCAAGTATGAGAATTTTAAAAGACATTTTGTCACTGCTGCTAGCAGTTTGAATCACTGCTGGCACTGGAGTGTTTGTATTCAGTAGAAATTAATCCTCTAATATGAATTTTAACCTGTTCAATTTGTTGTTTGCAGAATTTCACAAGGTTAATTGATGGATCTGGAGCTAATCCAAATCTTTTAGTGCTTTAAAAAAAATATTTTGGGCCGTGGATTTAGCTGTGTTTCCAGCGCCTGCCACGCAAGCGCAAGGTCCTGAGTTCGATCCCCAGTACCCCCCAAAAAAATTTTGTTTCTCTTGATTTCATAGCCTTGGTATAAACTCTGGGCAGCTCCTTGGAGGTTCCTAATGGGTTTTACATTTTGTTGGGCATACATGCAGGAAGTTAGCATTTGTCTTTGCTGATCCTACAGATTTATCAGTTTCTTGGAAGTGTGGGGAGCAGAGGTACATAAATAATTTCTTTATATTTACTCTTTTTTTCTTTTTTTTCTTTGGTACTGGGGATTGAACTCAGGACCTTTCGCTTTCGAGGCAGGTGCGGTGCCACTGAGCTATATCCCCAGCCCCTATATTTACTTTTAACTATTCCATGCTTTATTATCTAAAATAAGTTTATTAGTTCTATAAATTTGAGAGTGTAATTTCATCTCCACTAGGGCTTGCTATGTTCCAGTGTTTGTGTCCCCTCCAGAATTCACTTTCAAACTTAGTTCCTTCCTGATGCAACAGATAAAGGGGGTGCAGCTTTTGGTGGTGTTTAGTTCACAAGGGCCCCACCCTCATGAATAGATTAGCACCTTATAAAAGGACTGGAGAGAACTACCTGGCTGCTCTGTGCCCCTTGGGCCCTTCTGCCTCCCACTCTGAGGATGCTGCAAAATGCTGCCTGGATGTAGACAGCAGTCCTCACCAAAATCCAAGCCTGCTTTTTCCTTGATCTTGGACTTCCCACCTCCAGAACTGAGAAAATAATTTTTTGTGGTTCACAAATTACCCAGTCTTGTGGTTATTTTTGGATTTGTTTTGTTTCTGGTTTTTTGAGACAGGGTCTCCATATGCTGGCCTTGAACTCTCTAGGTGATCCTGCCTCCGCCTCTCAAGTGTTGGGATTACAGACATGGACCACCATGCCCAGCCCCTATCTGGTATTAACTTCTCGGCCTCTGGTTTCTCAAACAGCTAAAAATTAGTGATGGCAAACCTATGGCATCCATGTGGCAGCCAGCTGTTAGTGAAAGCTCTAAAAGGTTTGCCATCACAGAACATAAGGACAATCCTATTGTTTTAAGTCTTCATGCAATTGGCCCACAGGGAGCTCAGCCTGAGGCAGGCAAACATCCTTGTCTCCCAGTCTATGTGATTTAAGCCTAAACAATCAGTAAATGGTAACAGTGACAACAGCAACAACAAAAATTAAGGTAGGAACATACAGAATATAGAAAAATCATTTGCCTTCAGATTTAGGAAAAGTAATCAGCACATAATGGTAAAGAAAACCTCATTTCAGCAATGAAGATTAAGTACTTTGGAGTAAACTTGGTAAGAAAATGTAAAACCTATATAAGAAATTTTAAAACATTCAAGACAAAAGCAGATTGCTCATAATTACTAAGAATTATCAGCTGACCAAAATTAGATCCCTATCTCAGAATGTTTTAGAAATATACTAAAAATGGGTCAGGGATCTATGTAAATTTTGAATTTGAAACAAAAGCATCAGGGCTGGGGATTTAGCTCAGTGGTTCCTCCACCTGCCTTGGAAGCGCAAGGTCCCAAGCTCGATCCCAGGTACCAAAAAAAAAAAAAAAAGCATCAGAAAATTTACACTGGTGAATCTATAACTTCAGAATATGTAGATTCTATAATTATTAATATAAAATCAAAAGGCAGTAAGATTAACGAACTTTACTACATAAAAACAGCTTTTCATGGGCCGGGGATTTAGCTCAGTGGTTCTGCCACCTGCCTTGCAAGCACAAGATCCCAAATTCGATCCCCGTTACAAAAAAAACAACCAAAACAGCTTTTCATGTTGCAAAACAGCATAATCAAAGCCAAAAGACAACATTCAATGGGGAAAAATATATTTATAGATAAGGAGTTAATATGTAAAGAATTCTTAAATTTTGAGAAAGGATGAAAAACCCAATAGTAAAGAAATGATATAAATAGGCCATTCACAAATTATATTGCAATAACCCTTAAATATGTGGAAAGATACTCATTCAGCCTCACTCAGACACAAATTAAAACTACACCCACAGGCCTGTTTTCAACTGTAAGATTAGCAGGGCATGGTGGGTCTATAATCCCAGCACTTAGGAGGCTGAGGCAGGACTGCTGTGAGTTTGAGGCCAGCATGTGCTTCACAGTGATTTAAAACACAAAAAACAAGAGGCCAGGGATGGATTGCCACAAGTGCAAGGCCAGCTTAGACTACATAGTGACTTCAAAGATAGTCTGAACATAGTGAGACCTTGTCTCAAAAAACAAAACAAAATTTTTTTGTCCCCATGATGAGAACCCAGGGTCTTGCACATGCTAATAAGCAAGCATGTTTTGAGGAGCTACATACACTTCCCACCCCATGCTGCTGTATTTCTCTTTCCTTTTTGTTCTTTTTCCTTCCTCCTTTCTTTCTTCAGATCTCCATGGACTGGTATAATTTCCTAGCTATTCGCAAAGTGGTAATAAAAAAGTATAAAAGGGGCTAAGAGTATAGTTCAGCTGTACAGCTTAGCATTCACAAGGCCCCGGGTTCAATCCCCAGCACCTGAAGTCTGAATAATTGTATTATGGTATGCTATCTTTCATGTAAGTAAAAAGGATAATTTTTGCAAAAAGAAACCAGAAATAATAGGTTACTTCTGGGATAGGTCCAAAAATGATTTTTAAAAAAAGCTGGGTGTGGTGGCGCATGGTTGTCCCACCATTTTGGAGGCTGCAGTGTAAGTTGAGGACAGCCTGGTCCATGTAGTGAGACCCTGTCTCAAAAAAGAAAGGAGAAAGAATAAGCTACAAAGGATAAGGAAAATTTTTATGTAATTCTTTAAAGAACTATGGTGCTATTTTACATACAAAGAAAATTAGCAAGGATGGACAGAACTCACTGTCCATCTTTTTTATTTTATGGAGTCAGGGATTGCACTCAGGACCTGTCTGCCACTGAGCTACACCCTGTCCCTGGGGACCCATTATCAAACACAAAGCAACTGCTCTATTACAAACGAGTAATAACCATGCTGAACGTAGGTATGTAACTTTGCAAAACCAGACATGTGGTCTAAGTAAAAACAAATTATACATAACTACATTCTGATCAGTAGTAGTTTTTCAGAGGGAAATAACTGGATTAGCAATTTTGAAACTACTTTATATATATTCCAGAATTAAGCAAGTAAACGAACATACTGGTGAAGGTAGACTTCTCACTGTGGGAGAAGTTACAAAAATAGAAAAACTAGAATGAATTCTGGTGGACTGGTATTGAAAATTCATATATATTAGTCTGAGTATACCAAATATCTTTTTTTCTTTTGGTTTAAACAGGGACTCACCACGTTTCAGGGTGGTCTTGAATTTACTATGTAGTCTACGCTAACCTCGAACTCACAGCAATCCTTCTGCCTCAGCCTCCTAAGTGTTAATATTACAGGTGTGCGCCATCACTACTGGCTCCAAATGCTTTTTTTTTCTAAGTACCATTCTCAGACAGATGTGGTGGCACATGCCTGTACCACAGACAGGACTCTAGGAAGCTGAGCCAGGAGGACTGCAAGTTCAAGTCCAACCTGGGCAACTTAGTAATTTAGCAAGACCCTGTCTCAAAAATAAAAGAAAAAAGGGCTGGCGATGCAGCTCTGTGAAGGTTAGGGTTCAATCCTCAGTACTGAGAAAGAATTAAAGGAGGCATAGATGCTTGAAGAAATCACTGATTCCAAGGCTCAGTGAAAGATGAGCCTAGTATACCTTGTAGAGCCAGAAACTAAGGCAGTATTAAAAGACAAAAAAAGGAGGGAGGGTGAAGACATAGCCAAAGGCCAACTGGAAGAGGCCAATGTGCCCAAATCTGTGAGAATGAGCAATAATGGGAGTAAATGGTTATAACACACTGAATAATATAAAAATGTGGGGCAACTATCAGTGAAATAATAGGAAAGAAAACACCTTTTAGAATTTCAGTAAGTCTAGGGCTGTATCACCCTGAACATGTCCAATCTTGTCTGAACTCAGAAGCTAAGCAGGGCTGGGCCTAGTTAGTGCTGGGATGGGAGAATTTCAATTAAGAACAGAAGGAATGATTAAAATACAAAATCATAAGGCAAACATTACACTAATAATTGTTTCAGAAAAGAATCATAAATGTCTACTAATTAGTGGGCAAAAGGTAAGAGCAATAGTAAGCTCAGTCTCAAGATATGTCCCAGAAGAGACAAAGTTAAAGTTTCACATTGGAGAAATGTGACAGACATCAGATAACCCCAAACTCAAAGTTAATTATTACCAGTAGATCTGGGATGGGCTTAGTGATGGGTGGACCACTTATCCAGGCATGCATGAAGTTTCGATCCCTAGCACTGCCAAAACAAAAACCTTACTAGTAACAGAAAAAATTCAAATTGGCATTATGTACCATCAGTTCTGTGGTATTCTTGCCAAAAACAAAAACACACATGCTGAATTTAATAAGGAAGTATTAGGCAAACCCCAAATTTAGAGGTCTCTTACAAATAACTGACCTGTACTTTTCAAGGCAATGAAAGATACACATCAAACTAGCACCATCCCTGTAATCACACCTCAGTAGGATGAAGCAGGAGGATCTCAACTTTGAGGCCAGCCTGGCCAACATGGCAAGACCTTGTCTCAAACAAAACTAAATATTGACATATGTCCTGATTAGAGAGGTGACAACCAATGGAGGGGTAATGAAGTGGATTTTGGACTAGGGGTATTAGTGGGGCAAATGGGTGAAACCTCAAGATCTGTAAAATAACAGTATGAGGTAGTATCACAGATAATACTGTATAACATTAAATCTTTCATTTTGACAATTGTCCTGTACATATGTAAGATGTTAACATCTGGAGAACATGAAGACAGGGTATTTGGAAATACTCTAATAATTTTTGCAATGTGAAATCTGACTTGTTTCAAAAGGAAGTCTAAAACAATTAAAAAGCAGTATTTTCACTTACCCAGGAATATAAATTGAACAATCTCTCCACTGGTATGCCAACCCAACCTTGATATAATACTTGAAATTCAGAGCTTCTTTGTAGTCAAACTGAGTATGAATCTTAACTTGAGACTGAATCCAACCTTTCCACTAAGCCCTGAATATTAAAGAAAATATATTCTAAAAGGTAAATACCTGATGTGTTCTTGTCAAGTAGTAAGAAAGAACTGGGCTGCTCTAATCATGTGGTCTCAGAATTCAAAATAACCAAAGAAATGAATTTTGGGCACCTGCATTATAGATGAATGAACAGTATACAGACAAGAAGGCAAAATGACTAAAAATATGTACATAAGGAGAAGAGCCGGGGATTTAGCTCAGTGGTTTCACTGCCTGCTGTGCAAGTGCAAGGACCCGAGTTCGATCCCCAGTAACAACAAAAAAAAAGTTTTAGAAGAGGGGTTGAGGGAAGGGGAATGGGAAAAAAAGAAACAAGATATATCATGTAAGGTACAAATTCATACGTTGTTCATACGTACACACATATATCTTAAAATGTACAAATAAAAGTGTAAAAATAAAAATATGTACACAAAATGATCAGGGAAAATGGGGAGATTTAATCTGTGGGGAGCAAGGAGAGACAAAGGCAGAAAGAACTCTTCAAATAAGGAAAACACTGAAAAAGCAGGATTTTTTTAAAATTTATTTATGGTCTTAATTTTATATATAGGATGACAGAAGACACTAGTAAAAGAATACTTTCTAACCCTTAAGGATTTTCAAGGGTATGCTTTGGCAGGATTTCCAAAGCACAGGACAGACAATCCTTTGGCAGTGGAAAAGGATTTGGATTAAAGCTATTCCAATTATATGAACTATATGTGCTAAATTATGTGGACTCTAATTAACTCTAAGAATTTTTAATTTCCCTTTACTTTAGCCAACAATCTGGACAAGAGCAGCAATACTTCATTTGTCTCAACTGCTCTGTTTAAAAAAAGAAAACAAAAGAGTAACCAATAATTAAATGGAATAGAGAATCAGAACACTATTGAGTTTGACAAAATTTATTGGTTATTTTAGTAAAGACATTCATCTCAGTCGTTTCTCTCCTCATCTTGACCTTAGCTTAGTATTTCATTTGGGTCAAGAAAAGAGTATGTAGGAGAGGGATGTTATTTTAACAAACAGTAAAATGGACAAAAATGAACAGTTTG